AGACAAGATAGATTGTGGAGACAGGACAGCCTGCTGAAAGCTGGCATCCCAGCTATCCTGGGGCAGGTAGGCAGCACAGAAACAGAAACAAGGTGGAAATGAGAGCTGACTCACAGAGTTTTCCTCTGACCTCCATACATGTATCACCACTCACAAAAACTTGCATATGTACACATACACAGACACACCACACACACATTATAAAAATGGCAAAATATAGCTAGATATCTCATGCTTGTAATCTCTTCATTTGGTAAATAGAGTTTGGAAGATCAGAAGTTCAAGGCCAGCCTGGGCAACATAAGACTGTCAAGAAAATGGGAGGCAGGGATTGCATGGCTCATAGTGCAGAGTAGAATTAAGACCTGCACATGTCATTTTATTATTATTATTATTATCATTATTATTATTACTATTATTATTTTATGTGTATGAGTGTATTGTCTGCATGTGTGTAAGTGTCATGCAGTGCCAGAAGAGGGCATCAAATTCTCTTGGAACTGGAGTTAAGGACAGTTGTTAGCTGCCATGTGGGTGCTGGGAATTGAACCCGAGTCATCTACAAGAACAGCCAGTGCTAATCTTAACCTCTGAGCCATCTCTCCAGTCCATATGTCCTTCTTTTTAAAACTTAAAATTTCAGTTAATTTTAGATAAAGGTTTCAAGGACTATGGGGTAGGTCAATGATAGAGCACCTACTTAGTATGTGTGAGGCATGGGTTACATCCCCCAACATAGGCTGGGCATGGTGATACACTCCTTTAATCCCAGTGCTCAAGAAGCAGAGTTGGGTTGGTCTCTGTAAGTTTGAGGCCAGCCCAGTCTCTGTAGGGAGCACCACACCATCCAGGGCTACAATTGTAGAAAGGAAGGAAGGGAGGGAATGTTGGTCACAATACTGAACTAAACTAAAAACCTTGATCAAAAAATTTTTTTTAAATTTATTTTGTGAGTGGATGTAATTGCACAGAGTGCATGTGGAGGACAGAGCACAACTTAGGGGACTCAGTCTCTTCCTACCATGTGGGTCCTAGGGATGAAATTCAAGTTTTCAGGCCTGGTAGCAAGCGTCTTTACCCACTGTGTCTTCTCACTGGACCCCTTGATCAGACTTCACAGTTTCCACCAGGGTCCTCCTTGTGCTCTAGGGCAGTGCTTCTCTATTGTTGGGTTTGTAATGAAGTTCAGTTTCTCTTGGTCTTTCATGACTTGATGCTGCTTTTGATGAGTGCTGATCAGTTACCTCGTCAGCCATCTCTCATTTTGGACTTTTGATATTTTCTCAGGAGTAAACCAGAGTTGCACTGTTTTTCTTTTCTTTTTGAAACAAAGTCCCACTGGGACAGCTGACCCAAACTCAGGATCCTCCTGCTTCAGCCTGTGGCTGGACCCTGTGCCACACTCCAGGGTCCTAATGGTATGCCTTACTACCTGAGTTGGCAGTGATGGTTTGGTTGAAGTCAGACCATTAGTACTACATTTTTCGTGTTTGAGCCAGTATGAAGAGATGCACTCAAGGCTACCTGGTTGGAGCTCTGTGTGGCTCTTGTCAACAGAGGCAACTGGTGCCCAGGCATTTGAACTCAAAGTGAAACATACAGTATCCTCGAGACCTTTCCAGCTTCTGGCAGTGGGGAGGGGATACACTAAGCAAGGCACTGAATACTGAAATAGTGCCACTGGTTTAGGGTGCAGCAGCTGTTGGAGGGGGCATTAGATGTTTCATAGTTCTTCAGTATCCCCCCTCATTTCCTTTTCCCTTTGGAGAAATTGCAGTGTTTTAAAGCCTTGTCACCGATGTAGAATGTAAACAGCTGAGGCTCTTCCTTAAGAGTACCCTTTAAGTCTGTTGTGCACTTTCAGGATCCAAATTTTCCATGAACAGAGCAAAAATGGTATTACCAAAAGACTTAGATAAGCTCTGTGAGTTGGGATTATTTTAGCAAGGAAAGATGTGAACTGGAAGGTAAGAAAAGATGAATGATACTCTGTTTCTGATTTTCAAAATATTCATCCATGGAGCCTCTTGTAGGACGAGCAGATGGCTCAGCAAGTAAAGGTACTTGGGGCCTGGAACGCATACAGTGGAAAGAGAGAACCAACTCCTGCAAACAGTTCTCTGACTTTCACATGTGCGCTATGGCACACAAGCTGCTGCAGACCCCCCCGTCCCCCGCCCCAGTCCATCCAAGGGAACAAGGAAACCTGGATCTATGTGCTTCCTTCAGCAACATATATAAAGTTAGAATGAAATAGAGAGAGTTTTTTGTTGTTTTTTTTCATTATGTCTGTGTATGTGTGGGTATGTGCACATGAATGCAGGTGCCCACGGAGGCCTGAGGCATTGGATTTTCTTAGGAACTAGAGTTACAGACAGTCGTGAACCATCTGACATGGTTTATGAGACTGTTCTCTGGAGGAGCAAGTGTTCTTAACCACTGAACCATCTCTCCAGTCCTGTATTTTTTTCATTAGAGAGTAAAGACCTTTTAAATTGGGCAGGCAGGGGATGGGGGGGGGCATCCACATTTTGTCAAGAATTTTCTAACCATAGGACAAATTGAGAAGATTACATGATCTTTATAAGAAACATTGAGGCAGATATCTGAAAATTTGAAGTTTGACACTTCCTAAGGAAATTCACATGGTAAAAGATCTACAAACTTGCACCCACACACACCTCATGTTGTAAAGTATTTTTTTTTTTTGGTCTTTTTGAGACAGGGTCTCTCTGTAGCCCCAGATGGCCTGGAACTCTCTGTGTAGACCAGGCTGGCCTCAAACTCACAGAGATTCTCCTGCCTCTGCCTCCCAAGTGCTGGGATTAAAGGCATGCGCCACACGACACCTGGCAAGTTTGTTCTTTTTTTTTTTTGGTCTTTTTTGAGACAGTGTTCTTTTTTAAAAATATATTTTAGAGACTGGGCATGGGGTGCATGTCTTTAGTCCCACCAGCACTCAAGAGGCAGACGCAGGTGAATCTCCATGAGATCAAGGTCAGCCTGTTGTACATAGTGAGTTCCAGGCCAGCTAGGGCTACAGGGAGACATTATCTCCAAAAAAAAAAGTGTGTGTGTATGTGTGTGTGTGTGTGTGTGTGTGTCTGTACATATGTATTTTAGGGCTCATTGATAGAACAGCTGGCATGTATAAAACCCTAAGTTTAATTCACAGTATTTCTTTTTTTTTTTTTTTTTTTTTTTTTTTTTTACAGGGTCTCCCTGTAGCCCCAGCTGGTCTTAAATGCACTATGTAGACCAGGCTAGCCTTGAACTCACAGAGATCTGCCTGCCTCTGCCTCCTAAGTGCTGGGACTAAAGGTGTATATCACATACCTGGCCAATTCACAGTATATTTTAAACCCTGTTTTAGTATAAGCTAAACATTATAGATAACATAGTAAAGGATAAGGATACCGTGCACCTGCCATCCAAGTGGAGAAGTAGCAGTGGGTCCTTAGAGCAGGAGGAGGCCGAGAGCTGCTGCTATATCGCCTGCCTCCATGTTGGGGTCATTGCTGGCTTGTGTACAGTGAATAGGACTGAGGACAAAGCCTGATTCTCATCCTACTCCTAGGACAGTTAAGAATGTCCACTATTCAGAGCACCTTGCCTTTGGTGTAGGGGTTGATTCCATGGGTCCCACACCATTAGTAGTATTGACTTGAGCAAATATGTATTCACCCAGAGAGGGCACCTTTGACAGACAGACCCAAGAAATGATCCCACCCAAGTCTAGCTAAGTGAACCAGTGAGTTTAATAAGGATTACTTACAGGAGCATGGGTGAGCTACAGGAGCATGAGCAACTTTTGAGTGGATATTCAACCAAAGAATTGACTCTTCCTTCTCCCCATAGCCTTGGCCCACCCCATTGGCTAGCTCATATACTTCCCCTCTACAAGGGACTGTTATTTTATAGGTCTTGTGAAGGCCTCATGTGAATAATCACAGGTGCTGTGATTTCAGGTTGGCAGTGGCTATACCATGCCCCAAGGACGCATTCCATAACATCTGGAAGCAGCAGCATGCACCTGATTAGGTAACACTGGGTCCCAAAGAAGTCATTTTAGGACAGAATTTGTGAGCTGGGTATGGTGGCAAACATCTGTAACACTCAGGAAACTGATGCAGGAAGATCTCAAGTTCAAGGCTTCTTCTGGCTACTTAAGTTCTAGGTCAGCCTGAAATAGTGAATCTCTGCCTAAAAATAACAATTTTTAAAGGCTGAGAATATAACTCAGCGGTAGAGCAATTGCCTAGCATACAAAAGGCCATGGGTTTAGTTCCCAGAACTGTAAGAGAAAGGTAGGGGGAAAATGGGTAAGAATATTTGAAGGCAGATTTTCCTATCTAGGTACTAACTAAGCCTGACACTGCTTAGCTTCTGAGATCAGAAGAGAGACAGGTTCAGTGTGATGTGGCCTAAGACTGAAAAGTAAATTCTGAGAAAAGAGTTTTACAATGGCAGGGGCTAGGATGATCTGATGATAAGATATCTTGCTTTCATGGTATTGTTTGGTTTTCTTTTTCTAATACATCTGTCAACATTTGTACCTGGTGTTCAGCCAAAACCAATAATGGCTGAAATAAATTTTGTCCAGGTCACCTAGATTAAAGCAGTGAAGCAAAGGGTGAGTAGTAGATTTTCTCTGCCTATTTCCTGTGGTGACTGCTTCCTCCTTATATCCATAATTAGAGTTGTTTTTTTTGCACAAACCTTTGGGCTTTTGGGTTCTGTCTACAGCCCTGCTTGTTTCTCTTCACAGCACACTACATAGGGGAGTTGGTAGCCATTCCCCCCATGTTCAAAACAAGACTTTCAGCAAGAAATGGGTGTTTCTCTTGTGGTTGCTTCACCTCTGTCCCATTAGGTGGGTGTCAGCTTACCTGGGCACCCCAGTGCAGGATACAGCTCAGCAGTAGCTACTTCTATGTTACTTGGTTTACTTTCCAAACACCTCTGTGGCTTGTCTGACTTTATATGTCTTGTCTCCACAGGTTGCTTTCAGTACCAAAATCTATCACCCCAATATCAACAGCAATGGCAGCATCTGCCTGGACATCCTGCGGTCACAGTGGTCTCCAGCACTGACTGTGTCCAAAGGTAGAGACACTGACACATGCTCAGCATGCCCTGTCCCATGAGTTTTTACCCCCTTGCTGACTGGTGGACATGAAGGCTCAAGAAGAACAGGCAGCTTACCCAGATTGCACCGCCTAGCCTTGTGCCCACCTGATGTCTCCACTGCACAGAGACATCGCTACACTGCATGGAGACAGCTCCACACTGCACCGAGACATCTCCACACTGCACAGAGACATCGCTACACTGCATGGAGACAGCTCCACACTGCACCAAGACATCGCCACACTGCATGGAGACAGCTCCACACTGTACCAAGACATCTCCACACTGCATGGAGACATCTCCACACTTCACAGAGACAGCTCCACACTGCACGGAGACAGCGCCACACTGCACGGAGACAGCTCCACACTTCACAGAGACAGCTCCACACTGCACGGAGACAGCGCCACACTGCACGGAGACAGCTCCACACTTGCAGGGAGACAGCGCCACACTGCAGGGAGACAGCTCCACACTGCACAGAGACAGCTCCACACTTCACGGAGACAGCTCCACACTTCACAGAGACAGCTCCACACTGCACAGAGACAGCTTCACACTGCACGGAGACAGCTCCACACTGCATGGAGTTAGCATTGTGAAGCACAGCACTTATGCCCTAGTGGTTCTCAGTAGTCAGTTGCTGTGTGGTGCTTAACATTGCTGAATGGGTACAAGAAGAAAATGTTGATTCTCCTTACTTTTTTTTTGGTCTTTTGAGACAGGGTTTCCCTGTAGCCCCAGCTGGCCTGGAACTCACTATGTAGACCAGGCTGGTCTTGAACTCACAGAGATCTGCCTGCCTCTGCCTCCAAGTGCTGGAACTAAAGGCGTGCACCACCATGCCCGGCTTTCTCACTTTTTTTTTTTTTTTCAGAGCTGAGGACCAAACCCAGGGCCCTGTACTTGCTAGGCAAGCGCTCTACCACTGAGCTAAATCCCCAACCCCGTCTCCTTACATTTTTAACTTAAAAGTCAGGAGGTAAATATTTTGGATTTTTTTTTTTTTTTTGGTGTTTTTCGTTTTGTTAACTTTTGTTCTTTTTTTGGAGATAGGGTCTCACTCTGTAGCCCCCACCGGCCTAGAACTCACTATGCAGACCAGACTAGTCTCAAACTTGAAGAGATCCACCTGCTTACAAGTCCTGGAATCAAAGGCATGTGCCACCACACCCGGCCCCAGAAGGCAAATATTATGCTACTTTTTCCCTTCTTTCATGCATTCGTCTAACAAGGACTAACACAGACAGAATCATTTCTGAAGAGAGAGAGATACAGGGTGTGACCTCATGAGCCTTACAGTCTAGAGAATCACAAAATAAGTGATATTGAGCACATGTCTGTATATGAGACAGAAGAATCTAGTCTAGCAGGCTGTTGGTGGCACACCTGTAATCACAGCACTCTGGAGACTGAGGCAGAGGAGCAAGAGTTCAGGTTCAGCCTGGGCTATAGAGAGAGATCCTGTCTCCTAGAAAAAAAATCAAGTCTAAACCAAGCTGTAGAACTATAGGTATTCCTTCTGAACTGAGATGGGCTCTGTGTGTGTGTGTGTGTGTGTGTGTGTGTGTGTGTGTACACAATATAGTGACATGGGAGGGTGGGGTGACGAAAAAAAGAGCCCCTTCCCCCAAATAGCCAGTAAGCGGAGCATAAGCAATGCAAGTGGCAGAGCTTTGAGCATTGGGATAGGCCATAAACCACCTAGGGCAGCTAGCCGGACTAGACTTTGGAAGGCTAGAAAAAGCCTGCCGCAGTGGATGTTAAATCCAGAACTATAGAGCCACTGCCTATATTATATAGCCACACATTCAGGAAAAGCCCAATGTTCTAACAAAAGTAGCTCCTCTGAGTTGTACCTCAAGTGGGCAGCCTATCCCACTGCCCAGAAAAGTTAGGGGTAGCCATCAGTCTGCTAGCCCCAGGACTTGTGCAGCCTTAGATAAGGGGTCAGAAAAAGAAGAGGAAAGTAGAGTGGCAGCAAGGGGCACTCAAGTGGGAAGAAAGGACAGGCAGCCTTGAGTGATCTGAAGGGAAGTCCACAGCTCTCAAATGACAGCCTCAGAACATTACAAGAGTTGAGTGTCTTAACTAAAGGGGACCCGCCCCTCCCATGGGTACCTTTGCCTGTAAGAAACTGTTATCAGGACTTAGGACTCGCTGAAGTCAGTTTCTTTGGAGTCATGATAGATCTAGGGCACAAATGACAGTTCCTTATGGTTCCTTCTGCTCCTCAGCCATCTCTGGTGAATGACTCCCTTTGTATAGGACTGCTGAAAGCCACACTGACCCCAACACAAGCACAGGAGCAGGAAGGTGCATTGGCTTTGTGGTCCTAGTTCAGATCTCACTCTAACTTGACTATTCTGAATTCCTGTTTTCATCCCAGTAAACAGGGACTCCTGGGACCAGACCACAGGGGCTACAGTGGAGTAAGAGTAAAGGCCACAACTACACAGAGGAGGGAGGCAGTGTCCCAGAGTTGTGCTGGGACAACTCTGGTAAAGTGACGAAGCACATATAGCTTGAACAGAATCAGATTGGAGTATTAAGGGAAACATACAGAAAGTATAGTTCAGGAGGTTTGAGCGAGGGGTAACCCACGACCTCATGGCCGCAGCTGACTGACCCTTTCTTTTCTTCCCAGTTCTCTTGTCCATCTGCTCTCTGCTCTGCGACCCCAACCCTGATGACCCATTGGTGCCCGAAATAGCCCACACCTACAAGGCCGACAGAGAGAAGTACGCGTCCTCTTTGGGTTGGCTTTGCGTGCAGCTGCCCAGGTTCTTACAGACATCTTCCTGCCCAAGCAGAGCCCATGTATGCAGTGGGTGTGCCTTCGGCTTAGCCTCCTGACTCTCCCTAACACGTCTTTTGATTCTGAGGAGGGAGCACATATAAAAGCACTTTGCCCTGTTGGATAGTTCACCAGCTACCACTGCTGAATCCTAAAATACTATTACCAAGCCCTGTCCTAAGGCCAGCCAACATGTTGGTCAGCCAACATGGACTCAGAAGAATATGACAACAAGAAAAATCTGGATTAAATTAGATAAGAGGGTTATCTGCTTGGACACACCCTGAATGAGGCTGAAGTCAGTCAAGGTGGGCAACAATTTGTTGGTTGAGATAGAAGTCAGCAGTGTGTTGCTGTTTCAGCAACAGACCTAACCCTCACTGCCAATTATTTAAACATCTACTTCCAGACCTAGAATTATAGAACTCCTTCCCTTGGCCAGACATAACCCTGTACCCAAGCATGGCTGGTGGAACAAATGCGGGAGCTCCAGCATGTGGCAGTCCTGAATGTTGATGGCACAGGGAACAGAGGTCAGGTGAGCAGGAGTCAGGCAGCAGAAACAGCAGCAGACCTTTGTGTGGCACTGAGTTTTTTTGGAGAGACAGTGTCTCTGGCCCTGGCTGGCCTGGAACTCACTGTGTAGACCAGGCTGGCGTTGAACGCTCAGAGATCCGTCTGCCTCTGACCCCCGAGTGCTGGGATTAAAGGCATGAGTCACCAAGCCCAGCTAAGTTGTATTTAATTTTGACATTTATTACAAAATTTTTACAGAATCTCTTAAATACTGGCTTTTTAAGAGTTTCTTCACTGAGCCTTCAGTTCATTATTTCTGCCTGAAGAGATTAGAATAGAATGCAGTTTTCCCAACTTACATTTTTCTTGAGGCCTTTATAGCGCTCATTTCCCTTATTGAAATTTCCTAGTAGCAGTCGAAATGAGGTTTTTGGTTTGGTTTTGTGTTTTTTTGGTCTTTTTTGAGACAGGGTCTCCCTGTAGCCCCAGCTGTCCTGGAACTCACTATGTAGACCAGTGTGGTCTTGAACTCACAGAGATCCGCCTGCCTCTGCGCTCCCCCCTCCCCCCCAGTGCTGGGATTAAAGGCATGCGCCACCACACCCGGCCAAAATGGGTTTTAATGGATTGGATGGATGTTAAGGGTCTCCCAGGTGCTGAGATTAATGACATGCACCACCATGCCCAGCTAAGTTGTATTTACTTTAACATTTATTATGAACTTTATTTCAGAGTCTCCTCTAATTTTCTAACTTACTGTCCTATGACAGCAGATCTCATTACAATAACAAGGGTAAATGAAATACCTACTGAGCCTTCACTGGGTACCAGGCCTGGTTCATGAACTTTACACAGACTCATCCTCCTCACTACAGCTGCATAAAGCAGATGGTGTTTCATGGCAAATAGTCAAGGGGGGCTAGGACACAGAGGTGACTGAACAGTAGAGGGTGGCACAGATTTATATAGTATACCCAGGTTCTGGGGTTTGTGTACCAGACACCCTGGAACTATTCCAGGCTGAGCTTAAGAGAATCTTCCTATCTTGCATTCTTATGAAGGGCAGGAGAAAGGATAAAGGTTTGCATTATTATATGTTCCTCCACAGATAGTTATGAAGGACCAACAGGATTCACCAACCTAATGGGCTACACCCATGACTGAAATGTTCCTTCCAAACAAAGTCTGTTTCACTCATCCATCAGTCCTAGATACTTTAAAGCAACAGCAAGTCCCCACTACAGTCATGTGCTCTGCTCCACTTTGAAGAGATGTAACCATTTCAAGTGAGGGTGTTGCTCCATCTGTTTTTTTCTTCCAGGTACAACAGACTAGCAAGAGAGTGGACACAGAAATATGCTATGTAAGTGCCTCGAAGGTACCATGGGATACATTGTCCAAGAGAAGCTTGCCAAGCAGAGAGGTCTTCCTGTGAAGCCCTGAGCTATTGGTTGAGGCACTCACAGAACATCCTCTGTTATTCACATGCGCGCTGCCATTCATTCTCCCTGGCTGCAGCGTGTTGGTGCCTCTCTCCATAATTGTGGCTTGACATATCGCACCTTGATGCCAAATGAACAACCAGCGTCTTGATCTGCAGCCTTCCTGGTTACACTAGGGTCGGTCTATCTGCCCCACCGCATCTGCTTGTCTCTGGGAAACCAAGCCATGCATGCTTCCCCTACTTGTCCTCAAGCAGTGCCACCACTCACTGTGGCACCACAGGGGCCCAGCCTGGCCCCAAACCACATGCCCTTTGCCTTTAGAACACAGTGCTGTCCTGAGGACCCAGGGCAGAGGGCTTTCTTCATATCTTGTCTGCCACAGAATGATATCCTGAGGCATGTTGAGCACATTCTGGAGGCTCCTGGAAATTGGGACAGCATCACTGTAAAGTGCTTCTGCTGTCTTCCACTGTCTTCCTTAGCAGTGCTACATGCTGCATTTCTCTCCTCACATCAGACACAGCAAGTGGAAAATGTCAGGATGTAAACATCTAACACCCATGAAAGAGGACTACCTTCTAGAAGCAAGAGGAGAACTATCAAACACGGAGAGATTTTGGGTTATCCTTTTCTATGTGATGAGGGTTTTTCCCACCTCCTCCCACTGGGAACTTACATGAAGTTCAAGCATAAGCCATTCACAGACTGGAACATAAAGAGGGAGACAAACTCTAAATGCAACTAAAAAGTTCCCTCATAACTCTTAATAGTAATTGACATTTAAGTCTTTTTTTCAGAAAGATTTTTTTTTTGGTCCTTTTGAGACAGGGTTTTATGGGATGCGCGGGGATCTTGGAGCGCCAGCTGCTGGGCTTGTGCGCCGCTGGGGTGCGGCCGCGTTGCTGTTCGGGTCCCTCCTGTGCAGGTTCCTGTCTCTATGTGTTGCTGAGGCTCTCCGCGACTACTGGATGCTGGTGACTCTATGGGTCGCTGTGCTTCCAGGCGAGTTCTGTTCCAAGCTACCGGGCAGTCCCTCTATGTTTCGCGATCCGTTGGCCACCGGTCACGAGGGGAGGTGCGGGAACAGTGAAAGCAGAATCTCCAGGAGTCGTTTACGAAGGGACAGCCCCCTCCAGAGAGACTGAATCGCCGTTGGCCACCGGTCACGAGGGGAGGTGCGGGAACAGTGAAAGCAGGATCTCCAGGAGTCGTTTACGAAGGGACAGCCCCCTCCAGAGAGACTGAATCGTAGGCAGTAAGACACAGAACTCAGCTCAGTCAGACTCAATGGTACAGCTCCTTTATTCAGTGACTCAGCTTGGCTCCAGGTCTTAGTGATTCAGCTCTGATTAATTAGGGGAAACCAGGACATTTATACTGTTGGGGCAGTGGCAAAAGCCTTAGTGGATAGGTGCTTTCAGGATGCCCCATTTACATGTGGTGGTGGGCTTCTGCCAGGCTGTCAGACAATGCCTGATTATCACACAGGAAAACCTGGCAGTTTCATGCTGAAGGACATGTGTCTGTGACAGGAGTCACTGCATAGAAACGCTGAGCCCCTTGGTCTATCCAGACATGGAGAGACTACTACCCAAAACAGCAGGAGTCCCCAACAGGGTTTCCCTGTAGCTCCAGCAGGCCTGGAACTCACTCTGTAGACCAGGCTGGCCTTGAACTCACAGAGATCTGGATGCCTCTGTCTCCTCAGTGCTGGATCAAAGGCATACACCACCATGCCCAGCCTTTTTTTTTTTTTTTTTTTTTGGTCTTTTTTGAAACAGTCTCCTGTAGCCCCAGTTGGCCTGGAACTCACTATGTAGACCAGGCTGGCCTCAAGGAGATCCGCCTGCCTCTGCCTCCCAAGTGCTGTGATTAAAGGCATCTGCCACCACACTCAGCTCTCACCTGAGGCAGAATAAATATAACAGGTTCTTCAAAGACTTGTTTAGGCTCTTGAGTGCTTGGCTTCTTCCTGCGTTGGCTTTCTGATGGAGCATATTATAAGGCTTGCTCACAGAGCTCAGAACTCTGACATTAAGTTACCTAAGAAAGGCAGGAGTGTGTGTGATTTTTTTTTTTTTTTTTTTTGGTCTTTTTTGGACAGGGTCTCCCTGTAGCTCTAGCTGTCCTGGAACTCACTATGTAGACCAGGCTTGAACTCACAAAGATCCACCTGCCTCTGCCTCCCAAGTGTTGTGATTAAAGGCGTATACCACCATGCTTGGCCTGTGTGTTTTGTTTTTTATTTTTACGTGTGTGTATGTGTGTCTTTGTGTATACTATATGTGTGCAGGTGCCTGCAGAGTGCAGAATAATGTGTTGGATCCTCTGGAATTGGAGTTACAGGTGGTTGTGAGCTGTCTGATGTAGGTGCTGGGAACTGAACTGAGGTCCCATGCAAGAGATCAAGCATGCTTAACTGCTGAGCCATCTCTAGCCCTTCTTGTTTTGAGACAGTCTTGTTATGTAGCCCAGGCTCACCTTGAAATCTCAATCCCCATCTTAATCTGAAAATTAGGGTTACCACCATGTGCCATCGCATCTGGCTAGGAAAGAAATTTCTACTGAAGCCTGAAAAGAAGAAAGTTAAGGAGTTTCCCTAGAGGATTTTTGTTTGTATTCTTTAGACAGGTTCTCACTGAATAATACAGGCTGACCTCAAACTACAGATCCTATTGCTTCAGTCTCCCAAGTACTGAAAGATTATATGTGTATCCATGACACCTAGCCTTAACCTAGTCTTTTCTGTGTTGGTTATAAAGCTGGTCTGTTCCCAGGGAACAGATGAATCAGAACAGAAAGAAAAAAAGTTTGCCACCAAAAGGTAGCAGGTGAGTCCTTTGAAGGCAGTTGGGAAGAAGTCTGCAGATCCAACATTTGAGAATCAGCCAAAGGTAGGAGATTGGTTTGCTCTAGAAATGCAAGTTGTTGCTGGGTACAGTGGTGTACACTTGTAATTCCAGTATACAGGAGGAGGTGGAGGAAGGAGAATTAGGAGTTCAAGGCCAGCATTGGATGCATGAGACTCAGAAAAAATTCCAAAGTTGTAGCTGTGATGCCAGATGTGTTGATGAATACCATTTTGAGATAATTCTCACTTTAGTAAAGGAATGAAGCAGGTTGAACCCGATCCTGTATTTGCCTTACAAGGGTCCCCATTTACCATCCTGTTACCATAGTCTTTGGAGGCTTCATAGTCTCTGTTCCTTGCTTCTTACCATAGTGAGGATCGCTTTTTAAGTTTGTTTTGGGTTGTTTTTTTTCCCCCTACCCCTTTGCTCTCTGCTTAAGCAAAGAGATAAATCTTATTGGGAAGAATGCCCTTCCTCAGGTGTCCTGTTGCAAAGCTGTTACAGACTTTTCCTAAGCAGCAACACCATGTGCTGAGTGGAGTCAATCACTTCAGCTCAATGTCAAAAAGCAGGTGGTAGATGATAACTCACAGCCAGGAAGTAGGGATAGAGTCACATTAGAAGCAGGTAAATGGGAAGATTTGGGCCACATTGATGTTGGGACTAGAGTATCCATACACAAATCTTTGAAGAATATGTTTATGGGGCTAGAGAGACGGCTCAAGGGTTAAGAGCACTGGCTACTCTTGCAGAGAACCTGAGTTCCAATTCCAGTATCCACACGGCAGCTAACAACTATAACTCCAGTTCCAGGAGATCTGACATCCTCTTATGACCTGCACAACATGATTGCACTTAACATGCATGCAGACAATGCACTCATACACATAAAAATTTAAAAATTTGTTTTTTTTTTTTTTCTTTTGACTTTTTGAGTCAGGGTCTGCCTGTAGCCCCAACTGGTCTGGAACTCACTAGACCAGGCTGGCCTTGAACTCGCATAGCTCCGCCTGCCTTTGCCTCCCAAGTTCTGGAAATACAGGCTTGTACCACCTTGCCCTTGGTTTAGGTTTTTTTTGAGACAGGGTCTCCCTGTAGCCCCAGCTATCCTGGGACTCGCTGTGTAGACCAGGCTGGCCTTGAACTCACAAAGATGTGCCTGCCTCCGCCTCCCAAGTGCTGGGATTAAAAATAACAAAATGTTTTTTTTTTTAAACTCATAAAAAGTTTATGACTCCAAAGAAATGTGGGGTTTTCTGGATCCAGTTAAAAGTTTCCCCAAGCCAGCCTTCTGCTGGAGATATATAGTACAAAAAGTTAACAGCCCTCTGCTTCCCTGGGCATGCACAACCCACAGGCCTCTCTCCAACCTGCTGACCTCTCTCCAGGGTAAGTCAATCACGCCCTCTACGCCTTGACTCCCCCAGCTTCATTCACACATCTCCCCCCCTGGTCTCTCCTACTAGCCTGGGTCCTGTCCCATTCCTTGTCTTGGCACCCCAGGCACTAAGGGAACCACCACTGCTTCCTGATCCTTTGCATCCAGACCAACTCAGTTCCATCTCCCATCCCCAGGAGCACACTGGGCCTGGCTTCCGCCCTCACCTCCCTCTAATTTCCTGGGCCAACTGACCTGCCAGCCTCTTCCTGGACGCCAGGGCTGACCTTTCCTCTTTCTGATCCTTTGCATCCAGACCAACTGCTCCTCAGTGCAGTCCCCAGGAGCCCTTGGGGCTGCTTCCCACCCCTGTCTTCTTCGCATCTCTGGGGGACAAGGCCACCAGCTGCCCTAGACGAGCATCTTTCCTGGGCCCTTCTCCCAGGCCAGTCCAACCCCCAAATTCCTGAGGCCAAAATCTTTCCCGGAGGGATCCAGACCTTAGGAGAAAGCCTGAGAGCATCTGATCCTCATCTGACTTGGGCCTCTGTGGGAACTCCTGAAGACAAAAGCAATCTGGCCACTCCAATATAAAATCAAAAGAGAGAACTGGAAGCTTAGAGGAGCCAGGTATTCATGCCCAAAAAGTACAACAAAAAGATGCATAAAGTTCACAAAAAGAAGCAGGCCTAAATTTGAAGGCTTGAGTCTCACATTCACGTCAAAGTCACAAAGAAAAAAATAACATGAAAAAGCAAAATAATATATCCCCAACCAATAGTCCTCTAGAGGAGTACAATGAGAATTCCCTAGAGATTACACAGGACATGGAACTCTAAAGAACAATTATAAACATGATAAAAGAATTCAGTGAATTTAAAAAACACACGAAGAAAGAAATCAAAGAACTGAAGGAAGATAGGGATAAACTTCTGAATGGATTCAGAAAAGAGTTAGAAATACTGAAGAATACTTAGGCTGAAATGAAGAAGGAAGTGAAACACTCAGTAAGCTAATTAGAAACGACAGGAGAAAGCCTGACCAATATGATAAATGAAATGGAAAACAGTATCAAGACTGGAAGATAAAGTGGACCAACTAGACCACTCAAGCAAAGATTATGAAAAATTTAAGGAAGCACAAGAATGGAATATGCAAGCATTGTGT